CAGGGGCCGGCCACCCGATCTGGGCACCCCGAGGCGGGTGCCGGGGCTCACCTGGCGCGGAGGCGACGCGGGCGGCCAGAGCGTAGCGCAGGACGTGCTCCTGGTGGTCGTAGAGGGCGAAGGCACGAGGCACCACCAGGCGCTGCCGGGAGGGCAGGCGGGCATGAGGGCAGCCAGAGAAGGTGATGTTCTGGTGCAGGCGGTAGGACAAGGTCTGGTTGGCTGTCCCAGCAACCAGGATGTACTCCCGGCGAGCAGAGGACATCACAGCTGAGAGAAAGGCACCACCAGGCGCTGCCGGGAGGGCAGGGGGGTGTGAGGGCAGCCAGAGAAGGTGATGTTCTGGTGCAGGCGGTAGGACAAGGTCTGGTTGGCTGTCCCAGCAACCAGGATGTACTCCCGGCGAGCAGAGGACATCACAGCTGAGAGAACCCGCCCCGGGGTGGGGGAAAGTGGCATCAGTGTCACAGGTGTTGGAGCCGCGGTGGGGACAGGGTGGTTTTGGGCTGGGATGGAGGGTGAGGAACTGAACCTGGGTCTGAGCACGGGCACCTACCTGAGCTGGAGTAGTGGTAGAGGTCGTTGTAGGGAGTGATGTGGACAGTGACGTTCTCCGGGAGGAACGGCACCTGGCCCTGGATGTGTGTCTTCAGGCTTAAGTAATTGTCCGGCCCCAGGCCCTCAGCTGTCTGGGTGATGTAGACGGTCTCCTCCCCAGGGTAGAAGGTCACCTCCAGGCTCTGGGTGAATTCAGCACCTGAGCAGGAAAAGGAGCAGGTGGAATTTGTAGGATTTTTTAGGGATTCATGCCCAAAGCATCATAGAACCACAGGATGGTTTGGGTTGACAGGGACCTTAAATATCATCTAGATCCAACCCTCTGCATGGGCAGGGACACCTCCCACCAGCCCAGGTTGCTCCAAGCCCCATCCAACCTGCCCTTCAACACTGCCAGGGATGGGGCAGCCACAGCTTCCCTGGGCAACCTGGGCCAGGGTCTCACCATTCTTCCCCAATCCTGTGGCACAGCCAGAAGGGCTCACAGCAGGGAGGTGGCAGCCAGCTGAACCCAGGGAGGTGATGGAGGGGCTGTCTTTGAACCCCCCACACATCCTCATCCCCTGCCCCATGCCACACGTCACCTCCCATCTGAGCTTGGCCACCCCAGCAGCAGCCCGTGTCCCTTGGGAGCAACGGGGCTGGGGGGGCACATCCCAGTTCCCCACTCACCGGTGATGCTGAAGCCGTTCTCGGCACCGGGTTCCTCCAGGGCGAAGAGCCAGGCAAAGAGCCCACCGATGGGCATGAGGGGCAGGAGGGCACGGGCAGCAGGCTGGGGCACCCCACTGATGGCCGTGTAGGCCCGGCCATCGCTGCCCACGATGTAGGCGTGGAGATCCACCTCCTGGAAGCTGATGGACGCCCGTCCCACCCTCAGGTTCCCACTCACCTTCCCGTTGAGGCGATGCACGGCCCCTGGGCAAGGAGACAGGCACCCCTGGAAGCAGCCGCCCGGGAACTGGGGGGTGCCTGTCCCCATTGCCCACCCCACGTACCTTCAGGCAGGCACTGGCGCCCGTTGCCATAGTAGGTGGCCCGGCAGTGGCAGCAGACACCGGTGGCATAGTCGGTGCAGAAGGCGTGTGGGGAGCAGTGCCCATGGTGCTGGGCACACGTCTCCTTGCTGGCTGCACTGTAGGTGAACACTGGGGACAAGGGGAAAAGGGTTGGGGACATGGTGACAAAGTCATGGAGGTGGCCACTCCTGGTCCCAGAAAACACTGTGTGGAGAGGGGACAGCTGGCAGTGGCTGCTTCCCAAGAAAGCATCCTGGGATGCACGGGGGAGGTTGGGAACCTGTTGCCTGATTTCAGGCAGATCTGACAGAGGGTGAGAGATCAAGTTTCGGTGTCTTTCTGGGAGACAGCCAGCTGGGAATGGGGCTTTGCCCTGGGAATTGTGCCATGGTGGCTTCCCAGCCAGCTTGGCGGCAGGGGGAAACAGCTGGGCCAGCCTTGGCCCCACATCTCAAGGACCTGCTCCCTGAGCTTCCCATGAGCTTCCCCCCCCTTGCCACGTATGGCTCTGGCAGCCCCTTGGCAGCAGGATTTGGCTGGGAAGATTGGAGCTGGAAGGGCAGCAGCTCTGCAGGAGCAATGCCAGCCCCTGCCAGCTCCAGCCCTGGAAGAGATGACCTTGCAGCGATGAGGCCTTTTTTAGGGAGCCACCCACCCCCCCTGTGTCCCCGCTGGTCCCCTCGGAGGGGTCACGGCCACTAACTGTCAGGATTGAAATGTTGATCTTCCTCCA